ATCAATACAGCAATCTTTCCTAGAGATCAGGGTTACCGGACTGCCTGAGAAGGAATAAAATTCCAAGATCATCCTGTTCCTAAGATATCCCCATGATTAAATAACATGCTCCACCGAGCAAAATCCTGACATGCTGACCACATCCCTCCCTCAGGTTGAAACCAATAACTTTATGACTCAAGTACAGCAAAAGAGTGAGCATAACATCAGAGAAAATGACATGTGCCAAGAAGCCCACTCATAGCAATTTAAACAGTATTATGGAGACTATTTGTAACAGCATCTTCTTGTGTAAAACACATCTGGACAAATAATAATTCTTTGATGAGATTTAAGATTACAGTGACACTAGGACTAAGTTCTGCACTTTACACTAAAAGCACTTCCGTCTCAGCACTTACAAAAATTTGAGTGCAACATGTTAGTGCAGAAGGTGTGCAGCTCTTCTGTGAGCCCCCCAACATTTTTGTGGGCAGCCATTCCATGCAAACCTTTTGTAGGTGACAGTACACCATTATCACAGAAGACCAAGAACATAGTTACCATGTTCCTATGGTCCTGGTAAGTATAATTCTTAAAGCATAACAATAAATTCTTGACTTCCCACATAAGGTGTGCCTCTCTACATCCACAACAAGATTTTTTGAGTGCAATAGACAGGTCAATTTCAACCAGCAGGCGATACAAACGTTAATTACCTGACAAAAGCTAATGTTCTCATAAGGGCGTGCTTGCGCAAGCAGTTCAGCTTTGGATTCTCTCTTTTCACCATGAACTAGCAACAATGGCTTCTTCCTTAAATGAAAGGAGGTTACTATTAAAACATCAAGGGAATTAGTAATCAGTCTAAACCACTCCTTCAGGTAGCTGTGACTTCTGATAGCCCAGCAAGAAGATGGCACTAAAATCTATATGCCTTATTAATGAACTCAAAGTAGTAACTACAACAGAACCTCTAATACACAGACATTAGAAAACTTCAATGAAAAAGAAAAAAAAAAAGGAAAAAAGGAAGCATGGAATAAATCAGACACCAAAATAGAAACTAATACTACAAGATCTTGTAAGGAACTCCTGTCTATAGCTGGAAACAGACAGATAAAAGCTCTCAGAAGTACCGATATACACAGTGTAGATCCAAAATAATTTAGTCATTGAGAAGATGGGAAGAACGAGAGGGGAAAAAGGAGAGCGCTAGGTCTACTCTGGCAATAGATTCACATCCATTTCCTAATACTCTGTTTTACTGCATTTCCAGTAAAATGCAAAAAAAAAAAAAAAAGGAGAAAACACAGTACATCATACACTTACTTCATCTGCAGTAGGTTGCAATTATCAGAATAGAATTTCAGGCAAACATAAGAACTGCTTTCATGACAATATCCAGCAACTCCAACCATACCATATCCATAACATATCATCCTGATCATTTTCACAGTTTTCTTGCTCCTTTCCTACATTCTCTCCTTTCTCTTGCATTACCTTGCTCTTGGCTCAGTAAACTGTATGGCAAAAAGCTTCTTATTCCATCTTTAAAAGTTATCTATCGCATTGTCATCATGGCCCACAACTGGACCTCCTAAGTGTTAATTAATAAAAATCAGAAATCAGACATACTAAACTTTGACCATTTGTTAACAGTCTTGAAAACAGGCCAGAAATCAATAGAGAACTACAACTGGAATAAATGCACAAGAATCTGCTCATACACAATTGGCAAACACTTGATTGCAGTTGCAAATCATTGTTATCATTCAGTTATAACAGCAACTTGCATGAACAGAATGATTTGGAAACCGTATTGTTTCATCTTCATAAAATAAACATACCTGAATTCCTGCGGATACTGTCTTACAAGCCATCCCACATCTATACAGTAGTTAAACTAGTACATAAGAAAAAGAAAACAGACTCATTCAAAAGAAAAAACAGAGTTTGTCAGAACAATGAACTACAAAATAGCTTTCTACATATATTCATCGCTCAATACCACTTATATCATACATAGCATGTTTTAAAAAACAAGTGTATTTTTGAACTTCAAATGCTTTCTTTCATGTCTCAACAATTCAGGAATGAATTTAAGTTATTCAAAACCCATGCGTTAGTGTTCATAAAAGTTAACATCTAGAAAAAGAGAATCACATACAAATAATGTAAAAACTTTGGTTAAGAACCATCTCTTTGCCATATGCTTATACCATGAATGATAGCAAAAGCTTCTATGCAATAACAAAAATATCATTCCTAACTTGAAAGGCTTTTTTCTTTCAAAAAAAGATATAATCATTTACATGCACATAAATACATATTTTTCAGTTGCACATTTCCCAAAAGGAGAAGAAAGCAGTCTTATAATTGCTGAATTCTAAGCAGAATATGAGATGATTTTTATACTTCAATAAATTGTTGTACAGTTTAACACATTTAAAATTCCTCTCTGTATTTTAACAGAGTTCCTTGCTAATATCAGCCACATGGTACAAACATGGATTATCGAGTTTAAGGTTAATAGAGTGAAATAAGCAAGTGAAATCAGTTTGATAAACAGAAAGCTCACCTGGGCAGAAGATATGAGAGTCCCAAAAAGAGGAGACAAAATATCTATTAAAAACATTAAAGCATAATTGAGTAAAAAAGGGTTCAAGTAAACATTTCACATCTTGAACAGTTTGATAACTACCACAACAGAAGTGCCAGATTATTCACAGACTTCGGGTAACAGACATCCACAATTAAGTTTACTGTTTTGAATATTCAAGTGACCAATTCCTCAGTGAAACCCTTATGGTCTTATATTTATAAAAAGCATTAATCCTTTCAAAGTAGAAAACAACTTTTAAAAACTCATTAGTAGAAAGACCAAGATGATATGGAGAAAGGAACATCGAACTACTCTCTCCCCTGTAGAGAGGGCTTGAAGAACTGTGGCAGGGTAGAAGCAATAACGGCACAGTTAATGCTTAAAGACTTATCTGTTGCAGACTGCTTGTTGGATATGGGTATCCTTAGTTCATTCATGGTAAATCCAACTGAGAATTTATAACATCAATAACTGAAACACAGCAGCAACTTGAAAACATATCCTACAAGTACCTTCTAGGATAGACAAATTATTTCCTGCCCTGTATCTACAGAAATCTGGTTTTGCAACTTAAACAAAAACTCAGCCCCTCACCAGCTCAACTAATCACCTAGAGGTCAGTTACTTCTGAGAGGGCAAGCCAAAAGCTACTACGAATTCAAAAAGCAGATAAAGACATACAGCAGTAAAGCAATTGAGATTGCTAACACCAGGCTACCACCAATAATCAATTCTTACAGGGAGCACTTGAGGTTGAGGAAAAGTTAGAACCTAACTGTATAGGTCTTCCGTCATCTGTTCCCCTTCAAAGAACTACCTCATTTTACTGTATTTCTGTGCATAAATCTCCTATTGATGCTTGTTTCTGATTCTGTCTTGTGATGTATGAGACTTCGTTTCTGAATGAGGGGATGTTTACAGGTGGACAGAGCTGTTCCCCCTTACATCAAACTACAACTACACAGCATTCCTGAAGCATCAGTATTGTACACCAGACTTCCCTGCATCTTGACTTACACTCACTTCTAACTGAATTGAAATAGGCCCATGAATCCCAGCCATAGAACTTCAGATGTACTGTCTTGTACTCCACCAAGCAACAGTGAATTACTAGGTGCAAACTACTCAGCAGCATGAAAACAAGTGCTAACAACTACTCAGGGTGTGTGGTTAGGCACTTAAGAAAAGCATCCCTTTAAGAGCCACAAAGGCAAGTAGTTTTCACCAGATCTACTCAAAAGGAAAGCAGCAATAAGCAGCACCATATGATTTGGCTTGGCTAAACGAACATTAGATTTGTGCAGCATAACTCAGAAGTTACAGCAGAATAGCGTATGCAAATTAATGCTTTATACACTTATAATTCTAAAAGAAAAGCACAAAGATAACAGAACCAATTCCTAGAACTTGCACATTTAGAATATGAAGCCTCAGCTACACCAATGAATATATGCATTTAAAAATACCCACAAACTAAAAATTAGCATTCTCTTGCAAACAAGTCTCCCAAAAGCCCACTTCTGTAGAAGCCACTTGTTCACCTTTTATGTGCAGGGCTCCAGAATTATAGCTCTGTTCAATTCCTGTGACTTTAGTGAGAAAAAACCTGAAAGGGCTTCCTCCGTTCAACAAATCCCAGGTATCTTGGGCTTCACTGGGTGTTTCATCATACTCCTCTACTTTCTGATTCTCTGAGAGTTCATCATCTTCGCACAGATTCACAGAATGTTCTTCGGGTGCACCACACTTTTCTTCTTTCAGTGTTTCTTTTTGGGCATGCTTTTCCTCATCTTCAGGCTCTTCATCGCTACTAGAAAGACACCAGCCTAAGCCTTCTTGGCTAGTTCTCTGTTTTTCTGCTGGAGGTGTTTCTGTGGAATTTTTTTTATCACTAAGCTTCAGGGGAGAAGCTTTTCTCTTGTGAGCAGCTTTCCTAGCTTCAGAGCATGGATACTGTGGCCCACTTGTTCTGCCACGTGCAGCATCCAATAATGAAGATGTAGATGGTTTTTCACTGTCAGAATTTTCCTCAGTGCTTTCATCACTGCTAGATACTGTCCATTTTCCGTGTGCATCTTCCTGAAGCATGTTCCTAGGGATTAAAAAAAAAGACCAAACAAAAATTGTGCATTTTTGCTATACTCAAGTCTGACTTCCTTCCTAGTTTCCATTTACTTATTACTAAGGAGCTTTGGTGTTTTTTTTATTTGGCAGAATCCCCACGCAACTTCTGACTCCGAAAAATTTCATAGTGCACAAAGCTTATTTGTTTCTGTGCCCAGGAGACAAAGAAACGCGTGCAAGGAGAGCAACCATCAAGTAGGAAGCAACGAACGTGGAAAACTGCGCATGTAAAGTCGGCGAGGATAGGGGCACGTACAAGAACGCATTTCAAACAAAGAGAGTAATTTGCATCATGCAGCTATTTCCTATGCCGACCCCGGCGCTTAGGGATCTAGCGCGCTCTGCCGAGGGGAAACGGAGCCGAGTCAGGGCCTCTCTACCCGGCTGCCTC